ACCACCCTCAGACGAATGGCTTAGTGGAAAGACAGAATAGGACGTTAGTGTCGATGCTGAGGGTATATTGTTCCAGGTACATGACCGATTGGGACAGATACCTTCCACAGGTGATGGGAGCTTATAATAGCACACAACACTCCACCACTGGAGTCAGTCCACACATGATGCTGACGGGACACGAGAAGTCTTTACCCTTGACATTCTTCTACCCAGAGTATGAGGGAAAGAAGACGTCCCCACAGGTCTACGTGAGGGATGTGATCAAACGCCAACAGGAGTTGAACGATTTGTGTAGACGAAACACTCAGCAGGCACAGGCAAGGCAGAGGAAAAGATTCGACAAGAAAGCAGCTGGTGCAAAGGCTTACTCGGTGGGAGACTACGTATGGGTATTTCAGAACGTTATACCACCGAAAGGGACAAAAAAGCTTCTGAAGAAGTGGAGGGGACCCTTCATGATTACAGAGGTGCACCAAGAGGGACGCTTTTATAGACTGAGTACTGGCCGAGCCGCCCACTACGAGAACATCAAGCCACACAATCCATCGACAGAAAACTGGTGTATACCTGCAGACATGGAAGAAGGGGATTATCTAATGATGGATCCTGCTTGTGAGGTCAATGAAAAAGGCACCAGGGAGAAGAACGATGGAAACGAAGTCGTAGAGGAAGGTACGGATACACCATTGGACCTGGATCCAAACGAACAGATCGAAGCGGACGATGAAACCTTGCCCTACGCAGAGGAAGATTGGCAGGATTCCGAACAGACAGAGGTTCCCAAGAACATGGAACCAGATCTTCCGTTCACGATGCAGACTCGTCAGAAAGACGGGACGAGACTAAGAAAGAAATACAATCCTTACGGTGACGACTTTGTAGTGGAAATGAGAAGGCAGAGATGCTGAAAGAAGATTTGGAGAGAAACGTGACGTTGTGTCTCCACAACAGCTTCTGTAGAAACAGAGAATCAAACGTGGATCCCCTACCTTGCTGTAAACAGAGGGTGGAAGAGCAGAAGTGTTGGAGGACGGCTTCCAACAGCGTCAGGATAGTCAATGACGTGCTACAAGACACGGAAACCGAAAGTGCGGAGTCAGTGTCACAGGAGGAGGAAATGGAGCATTGACGAATGGTCGAGAAAACAAGAGGTGGCAAGAAGGAAAATTAGAAGAATTTAGAAGTTTTAGAACTTCTAAACGACGAAAAAAGAGGAGAACAAAGGGATGATGAAGAAAAGTTAAAACTCAGAATTGTTTTATGTGTGTGAAAAATTCAAGTGAGAAACCAAGCAACCAAGTTGTAATTGAAAACTGAAACATTTTGTTGAGTTTTGAAATTGTTGCATTTATAAATTTGCATTTTGGTTTTAGTTGAAGTGGCTTTAGAGACACTCACTTATTATTTATTTAGAAAGGCTTGAGGGAAGAGTATATTTAAATATTCCAGCCTGCATGATTGTTTTTAATCACTTAGGAAGACTGATCACTTTGTGGTGACATGAAAAACTTGAGTAACTTCTTGAGGAGGGAGGTTGTTGCATTGTTCTTTCTAACCACAAGGTCTCTTGGTTTTAATATTCAGGACAATAAACAAGCAAGATTTCCGAAGGGAAGGAGCATAGTAGGATAATTTTAGCTTGTTGGTTGGCAGGACTGTCCTGCAAGCCAACACCTTTTAAATCTAGGAGAAAAAGTTTCAATCGGGACATTGACACTGGAAGTCAGAAAATATGTTTTATCTTAAGTCATATCCTCAATGTGCAGATTAATGAAAGAATTTGAAGGCTATAGTGATGTAGTATGATGCCATTTATATTCTGCAGTGAGTCGATGTGACGTAGGTAAAAGTAATTTCGTGCATTTTGTAAATTCTGTTCGATGACACTGTAACCATTTAGAACATTGCACGATTCAATGAGGACATTGACCGGACTGTCCGGGGAGTATGTGACATTCGACCAGAATGGCCAAAATGCAATTTATGCAGGATTCGAATTTTGAGCAGTAAGCCTTCCGAGTTGATGATTTCGAAGGATTAGCGACGTTATTGGAACGTTTAGCCAAACGGTGAGGGCTAGAATATTCTAGTATTTTAAATTTTCAAAAATTCGAATGATGACGTCACATTTCTGAGAAATGCTGAAACGGCCATTTTTAACAAAAAGCGAGTGAAGAACAGAACAACATTAGCTGCGCTAGCAACAACAACGAAATTGAGATCGGAAAACAACAACGAGTTACAGAGTAACAGAAGAACACTCCGAGTTGCAACTATTGTGCTGCTACAATAGTTGCAAGGCCGTTGCGAACAACGGTGAAGGGTGAGAGACGGCCTTCCGGATTAAGAGAAAATCAGGATTAGCGAGCTTGATCCAGCGGATTCATCAATCCGGAAGGGTAAAGGAACTGAAACTTTTATCCTGTTGCATAAACTTTTAGCTTCCTGCCATGTCCTGACTTGAATTTAATTAATATCTGGATTCATTTTGATAGGGATGAGAAGCTAGAAGTTGGGGGAAAGGGTTGATCCATCTTCGATGGAGATGATGATTTTTATCTACTGAACAAAAACAATAGTATTATAATAAGTAGTAGCCCTGTTTTTAGGAGTGACCTCGTGGTCTGGGGATACTGAGACCCAGCCATGAGCTCACTATTTCTGCATGTAATCTAGTTAATTTGAGTGTTTTGACCGAAGCCGAAAGCAGTAACGTTTTTGTCGACCCGATGTTAGAAAAGACCACCGAAAAGTACTGGCTTGGTAGAGACGGTGAAAAGCATGCAAAGCTCTGTTTAGACGTTAGCCAGTCGTCTTAAGACTTAGTTTTGTTTTCCGTCGATATGTATCTTCCGGGCGAATGTTACAGAACCTCAAGTATTAAGCTTTCACTATTATAGTTCCACTTTAGCTTCTCTTCAACTCCCAGATCACTTTTTGGAGACATGTACATGTAAAAATGGAGAATTTTGTCTCTTCTGTTTTCATAGACAGCGACTAAGCGACTAAATCAAAATACAAGCAGTCTGATGAGTCTATAATCCCCTAAAAATCCATTCTCATGTTTGGATAGGTCATGACAACCGATTACATGTGTTAAGTTTTTTGCCGATGTAATCCAACATAATCGATTGCTGCGACGAAGCGACTACAATGATATGAGCATCGCTTATATAATGAATGTACAATGAAAACAGTTTTAATACTAGACCAAAAGAAATAAAAAGTGCCATATAAAACTACTGCAGCAGTCATAATACCTCTTTTTATGTCTTAAAGAAAATCGTTTCCGTTGAATTTACTACTGTGGTTAGAGCATTCTGTGCTTCGTGCAAAACGTCCGGCAAAAGCAGCTTGGGTTTCAAGAGAATTAAGCTAAAAATAATTAGTCTTATAGATTCCTTAAGTTTAAGTAGGAATACGAACTATGGCTGAATTTGTTTATTTTTTAAAAACCAGTTCCAGTTATTCAAAAAGTAACAAAAAATATTATCTGTTTTATTATTACAAAGCCCTCACAATTGTTTCAGACTCTTTTTAAAAAAAAACCCGAGATTTTTTTTCATTACGAGGTTTGCGGATTCCAGAGATAAGTTAGAAAAATTTTCGAACTGAAAAAAGAGCTTTGTTACGTGTCTTGTTTCTCGTGAATTAACCAAAATCGATTAAAAAAACACATAAAACCGTCAAAAAAACACATAAAAACACATAAAACCGGTAGTTTTTCCAGCTAAAAGCAAAAATGTGGTCAAGTTCTAGTTTTTTCTGATTGAAATTGATGTGTGTTTTGTGCCAAAATCTTGTTTGTATATTGATGAGTTTCAAAATTTTAGCGCCAACAAAATGTTTTGAGCAATCCTTTAACTAAGCCTTGCTTGATAATTCAATCATTGAGAAAAAACAGTTGATAAATTGACCAAATATCTTTGGTCAATTCATTACGACAAAAACAAGTCGTTACGAGGCCAAACTGTACACTAGATAGGCGCCCAATTTGGTGTCCGTAGGTCTCTAGAATCGAAAGTCAAGTCTTTAAACATGCCGTATCCAAGTTTAGGCGTAATTACTTGAGTATAACTGATACTAATGATGATTTTTGGACAATTATAATCGATTATAATTACCAAAATTAGATGTTTAAAGGATTTATCATTGATTGTATTCGTGATAATTTCCAAGAGATGAAAGTCTCTTTTAATCGATTATAATTGATTATAGTTCATTCAAAAAACCCACGAAATCAATTATAATCAATTAGAATCCCTTATTTTGCCAAACTTTTGTCAAGCCAAAGCAAATTCGAATTATATCTTATGGGTTAATAATTTTGTGTCAATAACAAAATCTCTGAAAGAGAGATCACTTGTCACACTTTGGTGCATCTGAACATAAAGTCTTATCACGAAGCAAAACTTTCATAGAGATCCTTTCAATTTAGTTGAAAGGTTCTCGCTGTACGTGAAAATTAAATCATACGAATCAATTTTGAAACTAAATCAATTTTCGGATGTTTTAAAAAAGCTTAACATGTGCATCATAGAATAAATCTGATGATGAAGAAAAGAAAAAACCTCATAAGTTTGAATTGATTTGGAAATTATAAAAACAGGTTTTCCATTTTTCACAGAAACAACGTCTACGAAAAGCTTAAAGCATTAGCAAATTAGATTCACTTTCGAAGACAAAATGGGCAAAAAAGGGTTTAAAATCAATTATTATCGATTATAATGGGTTTTTGTACAAAACTCATGAAGTAGAAAAAAGAAATTGAGATTAAGAAATGAATTATAATTGATTATAATTGAATCGGAAAATAGACGGATAAAAAATCGATTTTAACCGACTAAAGTTTAATCTAATTGATTAAAATTTGATTTCAAAAAGAGAGATTATAATCGATTATTAATTGATTAAAATTGATTGTTTCACAATTTTAGTAAGAGCGGTACAAAAATCGTAATAGCTTCGATTATTAACGCTTGAAACTGGATGTGGGATGTTAAAATTTTGTCGGTACGACCAAAGAAAACACAGAACAAAAGAAGAAAAAAGAGAGCGCTGACAAATTCACAAAATACACAGTTTGGCGTCATAATGGTTATTGAAGATTCAGGGAATTGTTGAAAATATTAACTTTGAGGGCTTTAGTTATGTGAAAGTGCTGAAACAGAAATCAGGATTTGCTTCTTCGGGTTTATTGTATAAAAATTTCTAGGTTAGTTAAAAGATGGATTTCTGTTTTTTTTCCGCAACAGATTCCACCACCATGAGAAGTATCCTGAATTTATTTTGTGCTCTCTCCGCAAATCCACGGATTCTCAGCGCAAATGACGTTTTTCTTGAACCATTTGAAGGTAATGTAGTCTACCAGATTAGGATAGGGTATTTTGGGGGTCCAATCACGCCCAACCTACGAATCAAAAAAGAATCATTTTGTCAATTCATTACTGCGGATTCATTTTTCTCGAACCAAAATCAGTATTCTAGAAAAAAAGACCAAAAACTATTGACAAAATGTTGCGATAATTATTGGCTTTCTTTTTTTTTTAAAAAAAAGGGCGTTTTGGAAGATAGAAACATTTTCAGTAATTTACTCCAAAATTCATTGACATTAAATTTACTGAATTTTGAAAAAAGGAGAACTCGAAACATTTACATTTTTTGCTCATTAAAGTCTTTAAAATTGCTTCAAATCAAACCCATCCCCCTCATCCCCTTAATTTATTAGTTGATAGCAAAAAATATCCACATATACCAGCGAATTTTGTTCGAATTATGTAACCAACCCGTAATTGGTACGGCGCACCAATCAGTTGATCAGTTGACGCTATTTGATCGATGTCCCGTTTCAGATCGCCAACACCAAACCCAACTTTAATAATAATGTTGACCTGACATATCGATGAATAGTAAGCCGAAATAAAGTTCAAAGCTTTGTTTTCTTCCCTGTAATCGGTTAATTTATCCACATACTCTTTCGGTGTCAGTAGTGCGTTTTTGAACCCGAGAATGTAGTAGCTGTTATATTGGTCGTATAAATCTTCTTCCGCGGATGAAAAAAGTGAATGATTTTGAGAAAGAGGTGTGAAAAGTTTGACGCTCTCTGACCAGGCAAAATGATGCATTGTGTATAGCCGACCCACACTAGGATCTGCCAGACTCCACCCGGCTTCGAAGTCCAAAAAGAATGCTGGGTTTGAACTTTCACGGTATCGGGAAACAAATGAATGCAAGCAGTAATATGAACTTGAAACAGAAACAATTAATTAAAATCAAACAGATATAGTGTTAGTTTTTTTATAACTCACAGAACTTTTCAAAAAGTTTCCACTTTTTTTTAAACAAAAGGGGTTAAAAACATGATGCATTGTTGCTGAAAGTTTTTGCAGATTTTTGCGCAGGCGCGTTGTGGTGAGTGCCCACCGAGCCACATCACCGAGCCAATAAAAATAAAAATATCTTGTTGAGCTAATTAGCAACAAAGCATAAATTATCTAACAAGGCAAATTCGTCCTGAAATTCTATTTGAACATTTTAAACTATATCTTAATTTTTTTGGAACTCCGCAATAGACTGAAAACCGAAAAATCCAATAGACAAAAATTATTTTCTTTGATTAATAGTTTTGCTTTCATAGATTTAGATAGCTAACAATTTTGATAAGCCGTATTTTTTCAATAATTCGCTATCCATTAATTAACTAAATATGAACAATATTAAATAAAAGCGGTCTTGAAGCGGACGCGAGAAGCAAGCGCCAAAATGTACAAATTTATTGCTTATTTTTTCAAATAGTGGGCCGACTTAACACTCAACAATCTCTCCCCTTTCAAGAAACGAAGAGAGATTGATAAGTAGATTAAATCAGCAGGCTTTCGACCAATCAGAATGCAGCAAAACTCCTATTTTAAATAGAACGCTTTAGATCTAATTTACTGCTTTTATGTGGAGAGGATTCTCATGCTTGAAGGACCGAATGCTTGAAAAATTTCAACCAATCAAAATCGCTAAGCGTTTCTATTGGCTAAATGCCTTTGTCACAAAATCGAAGGCAATGTTAACAGAAAATGTATTAAATCAGTGGAAAATAATCAAAAATATTACAAATTGCGGGTTTTAACGGCAATACTATTCAGATTATCATGAAAATTAATGAAGTCAAAATCATAAGAATTTTTCAGTTTTGAAAAATCATCTGCTTATTATCTAATCGGTCAATATTAACACTAATGGCGTGGATTTAATTTCTTACTTTGAGATTTTCTCGATTTACTTTGAGATTTCGAATACTCAATTCTGATTGGCTGAAGGTAAGCTTAAAATAATTTCAAGCATTCGGTCCTTCAAGCATGAGGGACGCCACCCTTTTATGTAGTTCTTTGCAGATATAATAAGGGCGGGGGGTTGCTAAGTAGATACTAACGGTGGCGTCCCTCATGCTTGAAGGACTGAATGCTTAAAATTAATTTTAGCTTACTTTCAGGCAATCAGAATTGAGTATTCAAAATCTCAAAGCATATCGCAAACATCTCAAAGTAAGAAAATAAATCCAAGCCTTTAGTGTTAATATTGACCGATCCGATTAGATAAAAAGCAGATGAGTTTTCAAGACTGAAAAAGTCTTATGATTTTGACCTAATTAATCTTGATGTAACCCGCAATTTTTAATGTTTTTGATTATTTTCCACTAATTTAATACATTTTTTTGTTGGTATTGACTTCGATTTTGTGAGAAAGGCATTTAGCCATTAGAGACGCTTAGCGATTTTGATTGGTTGAAATTTTCAAGCATTCGATCCTTCAAGCATGAGAACCCTCCCCGATACTAACTATTTGCCTTTGTCGCACCAACTTTCCAGTTGCTCCTAAGCCAAACCCTCCCTTATCGGGAACGGGAGGGTATTGCTCAAGATGGAAGAATCGAGTGAGGGAAGTGTTACCAATCAGAATCGTTAGACGTTCCAATTGGCTAAATGGTTTTTGAACAAAACCGAAGTAATTTCGGTTTTGTTCAAAAACCATTTAGCCAATTCGAACGTCTAACGATTCTGATTGGTAACACTTCCATCATTCGATTCCTCCATCTTAAGCAATACCCTCCCTTTTTTAGTTTTTGGCTATCCAGAACGAACTTATTTTTCGGGTATCCAGGAACGAATTTTTTTTGCTGTCCGAGTACTCGGCTCTGTGACACGCCATCGGCGTGGTGGCTTTCCTCACGATGGGGTGACCGAATGTTGCAAATTAACATTCTGTTATTTTCAGCCAATCAGTATTCAGTATTCAAAGATCTCAAAGAAACGACAAAAATCTCAAAGAAAGCGAATAAATCTAGGCCGTTAAAAATAACACTGACCAATTAGAAAATAAGCAGATAAGTAAATTTTCAAGTTGGGCTTAATCGATGTCGGGGAAAGGAAAAAAATTGAAATCGATTTTGAAAAAAGAAAAATAAAGCAAAAATTGCTTATATATCTGCACGAACTGTACTGTAAAACTTTGCTGTGCTACTATTATTTCTTTTTGTTAAAAATTACTTCGGTTTTGTTCAAAAACCATTTAGCCAATTGGAACGTCTAACGATTCTGATTGGTAACTTTTCCATCATTCGATTCCTCCATCTTGACAATGCCCCCGCCCCGATTTTTGCAAAGAAACGGTAAAAAATGTTTCAATTGTTGGTCGAGCTTCTTATAAACACGACTTAACTCGACAAACTCGTATATGCTTAATCGTTAAACTAATACTTTGTAGGACTGGAGGCTGCTGGGGGAGGGGGGGGTTCTTCTCGGTACTACATAATGGGGACGGGGACTTATCAAAAAGATCATTTTTTGAAAAAGGTTTTTTACTGGGAAATTTGCTATGTCTGTTTTAATTTTAACCTCGTCTTTTTACAGATGAACGATCCGAAATTCGCTACAGAATCCTCAGGAATCACAAATATGGTGGACGACCATGAAGATTCTTCGGTCGTATTGAACACAATGTCATCGGAATTTATTGCCTCAACATCATCATAAAAAAGCTGACATATAAAGAAGAATTGAAATAAATGATAAGACAATTTCAAAAATAGATTCATATTTTCTGGAGTAATAACCAAAGTTGCGAGGTTTTACTTTCAAGAATAAAAGTTCAACAAACAATCAATCTCGGTTTGTATAATTCAATAATACAATAACTTCATTACGATTTGTTTATCAGGCAAACTTATTTATTCAGAAATTTCAGACCATTGTCCTTGGAAACAGCCATCTTTTCATTATCACCGAATGAAAATAAGTCTTGAAATGGTTCGGAGTTTTGAGTTTGGATACGTTTTTTTCACTCATAACATCGCCACATATCTTGTTTGGTCTCTTAGACAAAATATCGATGGTTTGAGGCAAGCCAAGATCCTTTGAAGTCTGTGGTGGGACAACAACCCGCACCGGAGCTCCATTGATAATAATCGATTATAATGTGAAAATAATGTCAAAATATTGTCATTTTAATCTATTTTTGTTGCAAACTGAGACCATGCAATCGATCAAATGTAATTATAATAGATTAATTCCGAAAAGTTCAATCCAATCAAAAACCATTGTAATGGATAATAATGAATTATAGTTTTTATATTTTTTGCAACGTTGCAACGGCCTATTCGCAATCTAAAGCTCTTCAATTATATGCCAAATTGAAGACATTGAAAGCACATTTACCGCTAGGTTACCGCCCCCATATTTACCCCAAAACACGCTTCCCTCCTCCAGTTTACCGCCCCCACATTAACCACACCCCGCGCTGCGTTTTAGAATAGTTTATAGAAAAAAAAATTAATCCATTATAATTGATTCAAAACAGTGCCGAAGTACAACAGTGCCGAAAAAAGGTTGTTCAAGAGTTTCGAAAAACTGTTTTTACTGATCCCAAATCACTGATGAGTAAATTATTTCAAATCCACGGAAGTTGAAAACTCAAATATGGCCCTTTTAATTGATGCCACTTGAACACATTTTCAGTTTCGACACTGCTGTACTTCGGCGCTGTTTACCGCTACTCATAAGTGTTTCTGAGGAACTTTTTTTTCCAGTTCCAGTGGTTAAAATTCTCGGAAAACTTTACTGCTGCTGCAAAGAAGAGCGCAGATGAAGATGTGGTGGGAACTAAAGTCGTCTTCCGGTGTATATCAAAACAAGACTGCTCGTAATAGAGCAAATCCCTGAATGTTCCGATTGCAGTTTAACTGGCGCTGAATAGTTTTTGATAATTAAAGTATTGAAAAACGTCTAACTATAGGCTGATGTTATCAAAAAGTGTTAAAATTTGAATGGCATGTAAAATTAAATTGCTTTATTAGCTTGCCTCAATTCAATTTGGAACGAATTTTTGGTAATTTGTAGTGCAAGATAATTCGCCACATGTTCGCCACGCATTTTCAGCATCGATGTATTGAAGGAGTTTTTTAGATCGGCTTGTTTCAGATTAACCAGAGATTCAGGTCAATATAATGATGTGCGCACCCAGCGGTGGCGCCCTAGGTCCACAGATGCTCTTGATGAATAGATCCACGCCTGTTTTAGTTTTTTTCGACTATCCCTCCCGTTGCCCCCTGAAACTAACCTGACGTCCTCTTTTTTGGGATGTAGAGACGACATAATTTCCTTCATTTGAAGATGGTTGGCTCGAGGAGGTAAATTTGGATAAACTCATTTCGAACAAAATCTGAAAAAGTGAAATTTTAACAACAAAGACCAATTAGTCAAGATACGCGAAGTAATGTATAAATAAATATGTATTTGTCAAGTTTTCAGTCAGGCGTTATCATGTCTGCGGCAGGCATGAACATGTTTCACTCAGGTCTGATCATGTAAGATCCAGGTACGACCATGTCTGTAGAAAAATACGCATGCTCACTTGTGAACAGCCCTGCATAATGGGGGAACAGTCCTGAGAATTTTCTCTCCCCTGCTAAATGGATGATCAGCCGTGAAATGGAACAAAAAGTTCAGTACGGGACGTAAGCATCAAATTCAACTAGATATTGCTAAAACTTGCAGCAAACACTTTGCCAACGCAAGGACCCACAGTTCAGACAAACTACTTCGCACAACGAGACGCGAAGTAGCTAAAAACTCTCCGTCAAGTAACCCTACCTTTTCCCCAAAACCAAAAAACCTATTTCGCTTCATTGTGATGCTTAGTGACAGGGTTTTCGGCACTTTTTGCAAGCATTTTCCACGCGTTGAACTTTTTTTAAAAGTGGATAGTTTTGAAAAATTAATCCTGCCTCATCTTGTCTAGTTTCTGTCTTGTTATGTTGCCTCATCTCGGATCAGGCGTGAAAAAGTATTCACTAGCAGTAGTATTAGTAGCAGGAAAAATGAAGCCATTAGTCATGAGTGATTAATTATGGTTGTTGCTTGGCACCTTTGTATTAAAACACAACTGTCCAGAATTGAGTTTAAGCTATGTGGAGATAGCGTTATTTACTGGCAGCTCCCGGGCCGAGGTGCTCGACTTATGTGTTGACTTTAAAAGCCGAGCAAGAGCAGTCGAGAAGCAATTTTAAGTCGAGCACAAATTTGAAACATATTTTGGTCAAGAAAGTCAAAACATAGATAGAAAAAGTCGGAATATACCCATTTTCGGTCGAGAAAGTTGAAACATAGGCCGAGAAAGTTGAAACATACACATTTTTGGCCGAGAAAGTCGAAACATAGGTCGAGCACACCGAAGCATAGGTCGAGCACGGTCGAAACGTACCCGATTTTGATCGAGAAAGTCGAAACATAGGTCGAGCACAGCCGAAGCATAGGTCCAGCACAGACAAAACATAGGTCGAACACAGTCGAAACATAGGTCGAGCACAGTCGCAACATAGGTCGAGCACAGTGGAAACATAAAGGCCGAACACAGTCGAAACATAGGTCGAGCACATTAGAAACATGTAGGTCGAGCACAGCTGAAAAAAAATTATTGTGAAAACATAAATGGATTTCAATCGATCATAACGGATCTGAGATGGTTCAAATAAATTTTTGGAAAGTTTTTTGTTCTTATCTATTCGGGATCGAAAAAACTTTTTTTTTAAAACTTGTCGTTCGGTAAAGTCGAAACATATCAATTTTTTTTCGAGAAAATCGAAACGTATCTATGCGAGGTCGAAAAAACAAGTTGCATTGTTTTAGAAAAATATCGGTCGAGAAAGTCGAAAAAGTCGAACGATATCGAATTTTGGTCAAGAAAGTCGAAAAATAGCTATGCGGGGTCGAATAAACAAAGTTTTAAAAAATGTAAATCGAGATAGTCGAGAATGGCGAAACAAATCTTAACTGGGTCGAACAAAATCGAACATTTTTTTGTTGCGTCGAAGGACATAATATGGTCGAAAAAGTGGAAACATAACGAGTTCGGTCGAGAAAGTCGAAACATACCGAAATTTGGTCGAGAAATTCGAGACATACTGATCTTTGGTCGAGAAAGTCGAGACATAAATTGAGCATCTCGACTCGGGTTGTTGTTTCGACTTTCGAAGAAGGTGAAGAATATATATGCTCGGAGTGGTTTTTTCAGACCAATTTTTAAAAACAATTTCTCGCGAGGGATCCATCCATGGATCTCTGTGATCCCAGAAAAGGTGTGCTCAACACTAGACATTTCTGACTTAATTGTTCATATGAAAACGCTCACTATTAGACTAACGTGACTAAAAGAGCGCTGTGATATTTTGATTCTGAAAGTTTAATGCGCTCTAATTACGCTTGGTGAATTATCCCTCACCACCAAATTGTTGCAATTTGAAATGAGGCAATCTAGTTTGTCCTATTAATTCCATGCACGACTCAAAGTTTAACAATATTTCATTAACTAAAAATTATTTGAGACCAGTTTATGGACAGTCGTAATATTCAGGGCTTTGCCCTTATACGAGCAGTCTTGTTTTGTGCATATTTCAGTATTTTGTGTATGACACGAAAAACAAAGTTAGCCCGAAAACATTAATAAATTAACAATAAAAATTTGAGCCGACGCTATTTTCTTCAAATTCATTTTTCGTTTTGGTTTGTCATTTGACAAAATTTTAGAAAGTCTACAGCTGTTCCAATGTATACATGTTTCAAAATATATCGTGAATCACTCAAGCACATGTACTTAATCCACATGCCAAGCTTAAAAAATTTGTTTGTATCCAATTGTAGTCCAAACTTTAGCAATTTACTTGATGAATTGCTAAAGTTTCGATATTGCAATCCTTTAGTGAATTTTTGTTCGAAATTTGTTTATTTTGGAAAGATGCAAGATGATGCGGTGTGTAAAATTTTGGGACAGAAAAAGCAAAGCCTAAAACAAATTTCCAGATTTTACTTTTGACCATTTACTTTTTTTCAGACCATCTTTCAGATCAGAAAGATTTTTGATGAATGTTGACCGCAGTTCAAAGGGAAAAAAAAACAGAAATTCGAAGTTCTTCATAATCAATAAAAAAGATAGCTCTTGGTTTGAAATTGCATTTAAAATTTACTAACTACAATACTTGATAGTGCCAAATTGCATTATCGTTTTTTCATGCTTGAATTTTGCTAAGCAATTAATTTCTTATAATCCCCTGGCCATTACTTAGAAAAAAAACCAAAGAAAAATTAGTGCCAGAGAAACAAACCTCAAATTCAAATTTTTGTATCTGATCGCGACAGTTGTAGTATCTTTTAAGGGCCAAAAAATATTAGGCAGCCCAAAAACAACTGACAAAATTTACTTATTTACAGCTAGTTTTGACAACTTAAAGAAAGTTTGCCCCACAAAGTCAAAAATTTGTGTTAATCTTTAACCAGAAAAAACCCACGAGTGTTGGCAAACTGTCTCAAGAGAGCTAAATATCCATAGATTAGCCCGCTGGATACAATTTTTTTGCACACAGTTTTTATTCTGACCACACTTTTTGTAAAATATTTTCATAAAAACAACTGCTGTCGAAAATACTGCGTACTTTTTGCATAACAAATCAAAATTAGTATGATAATTCTTTTCCAAAACATATCTAACACTTCATCGTTATATATATATATATATATATATATATATATATATATATATATATATATATATATATATATATATGTGTGTGTGATTTTTATAAAATGCAAATCAATTTCGTAGATCGCCATTAGACACAAATTGTCTGTTTGCAGGCGTCTAGCATTTTAAACTTTTGCATAACGAGCTTCAAACTTTCTTAAAATCATCCAATTTTTATACACAATTATATTTTTCTACTCCGACTTGTATGATGATTTTCACAAACCAGATTAATCCTATTTTTTCAATTGTCATTGGGTTGATTTAATTAGTACAAATATTCTAATTTTTAATCATTATAATCAGCTGTTTTTGAGAACTTTTTAGTTAGCTGCATTTGAGTTAGCCGCTGGCTAGTTTGGTCTTATTAGTGATGATTTAGTTATATTCTATCTATCTTTTTCAAGAAGTTTTTGGTTTCTAAATCAAAAAGATTGCCCAATTATTCTAATTAGGCTTGTTTCTGAAAGTGAAAATGAGGGAACAGAACAGTGCCGAAGTATAACAATGGCAAAAATTTTGTCTAACAGTGCCTTTTGGCACTGTGAAACACTATTTCAGTTTCGGAACTGGTGTACTTCGGGGCTGTTGAACGTCTCCTATAGGTAGTTTAACATTGCCGAAGTACAGCATTGCCGAAAAATAAAAGTTTTTTTTCTCAGATTTGGTATTGTACTTCGGAACTGTTGAAGTCCCGCATTGCATTTCGGATTACACATGATAAGGTTTTTTTTCTGATCACACCGTTGAAAAACGAAAATCAAAAATAGATGTGAATTTTTTACTATGTATCTATATGCGAATTTGCAAGAAATAAAATTTTGAATTACAAAAATTACTGGTTTGGTGCTAGTTTATAAATAGGCGAATAAACTCTAAAAACATCAAAATGTGCAAAGGAACGGCCATGATTCGTAGATCTTTCCTCCAAACTCGAGCGAGTAATCCGACTTTCGTACCCTCCAGAAATCTTGGTCGGTCAGAATATACGTTTCCTGTGATTCGTGTTCTTGGAAAACAAGCCTTATATCGGACTCTTGAATGTACAATGGGTAAGCCGATTGCACAACTGTCGTGAACCATTGAGTTGTTACGTCACCGTTTGCATCATTGGTAGCGGTATCAGTTGCGTCATCGATTAGATCATTCGATGATGCTATTACATCACCGTAGTCTGTGTTTGTGTCTGTTTGTGGGGTTTTGGTGGTGGGCTTTTCCTGGTTTTTGGTGGTTGTTGGGAGTGTTTGGAATTTGGGGAATGTCGTATCAAAATGGAGGTTGTAAAATGAAATAGGTTCGAGGCATTCGTTGGTTCTCGTGTTGAATCGGTAGATCTAGAAACAAAATTTGAGTAGAAAGTCGTAGATAAACAAAACTAAAATCCCTGCTGAACATTTTTCAAACATTGACAAAATTGATCTGATTTGAAATATTTGTGATGATGTTTTTAAAACAGAAAAACATCGTATTTGTTAGCTTCTACAAAAAGGCTTATCAGAAAACCAGCTTTAAAAATTTTCAGTCGAAAACTAACTGTGCTCGGCTAATTTTGATCGAGGCAAAGTTTGTAATATCACTCGACTCGTGTTACAAAAACAATCTGAATACCATGTGGTTGGTCGAACTGTCCGAGTAGAAGTAGATAGTCCTGTCTCTTCTGTTGTAGTATGACGTCACAAGGGCCAATGACGTCATACTTCGTTCATCGTGGCCAAGAACAGGGAAACAGGGCCACTTGTCAGTCAAGAGAACAGGGTCCGATAGTGTGTAGGGGAGGGGTGAGGATGATGATGAGGATGAGTCATCAGTCTTGTTAAAGTGAACTCGGAATACTTCCAAATCTGTGAACAGAAGCTCATGATGCAATCGACATTGATGATGGAACTGATTATGCAATAACTCGAATTAAGCATCCCAAATGACGGAAAAATAAAAGAAGTTTTAAAACATTTATCTGGTTGCTCTTCAGAAACATTTCTATCGAGGTGAAATTCACATGGAAATTTTTACTAATAAGAGGATGGATTATTTTACTCGTTTTGCTAGAAAAGTCGTTTCATAAGCTCTTCTACAACTTCAATAAATTAGGCAATAGCCATTTTGTCATTTTCATTTCTGAGCTCTTTTGAAACACTCCAATCCCAACAATATTCGGATAACTTTGTGGCATGTCGAATGATCTCACCTGAGCTTATTCCATATGCTTCGTACCCGTCACTTTTGCCCATCTGCAGCAAATAGTCAATCTCAACCTCCTTGAACTTGACCTCTAACCTCTGTGACCTGTTCTGTATTTCATATTCCTGCACAACAGTGTTTTCGGTTTTGTCCGAGATGGATTCGGTGCTGAGAATGAGTCCATCTGTGACCACGAAAGAGTGCTTGTAAGATTTGTTCACGCGTAGACTGGAGATTGAAGTTGTTTTCAGGTTACATACACCTAAAATTGAATTTCTCAGTTTTTGATGACAAAACTTATTTAGAAACAATGCGAGAAACTAAAAGCAAAAAATACAAAATATGAAAAAAACTCATTCAACTATCTCATTTTGATAACTTTATTATCGAAGTATTACTTTTATAAGTTGTAAAATTTTTATCGATTTTTTACGTAGATTTTACAACTTTCATTGATTTTTTATTACTAGGTTTTACAATTTTCATCGCTTTTTCACTTCTAAATTTTACTATTTTTTAATCAATTTTTCATTACTAGGTTCCGCTAACCATAGAGTGCCTGAATGGCATCCACATCGCTCTGGGACAGTTCAATTTCGCTCTCGTGCTCAGTCGGCTGGGAGGGACTGCCTCTTTCGGGTGTGTAGTACACAGAGTACATGATGGCAGTCGGGTCAGTCTCGTCGTGGGGCAAACCGAGGGCATGGCCTGAAACAAAACGATAAGTACTGTATGAAGGGACGGATTTATTTCTTTATAGGCATCTCTAGAAAATAATATTTATGGTAAGATAGTTGGGTCCTTGATAGTAGGGTCCATTCGAATGCCCCTCCCTAAACTCTGCATGTCAAATTTTTACAAAGTGTCCCTTTTGGTACTAATTTTGACATCCATTTATGGTCAACTGACCCTGAAATTTTTAGGGGAGCCTTAGGCGCCAATATACAGTAAATTTGAAAGGGCGCTCACGCCGAAAAATTGCAAGTTTTAGTCAAAGCATTCCAAAAACCTGTCAAAATTTCCAATTTTTTTCCGAAAAGCCGCCCCTTGAAAAAATTTGCGCACACCACTGGTTTTTATATTTGTTTTTTTTTCTAGGATCCCATCTATACATACGTGTTCCAGTTCCGTTAATGGATTTTTTTGATTTCGTTGTTCGAATAAGTTTTGACAGTGCCGTACCTAACTCGTGGACTATGACGTGGGGTAGTATTGCGGGGTGGAGTCGTGAGAGGGCGTCGTTTATGTGCACTTCGCCCACTGTCCACGAGTGGCCCAATTGTGAGCCGAGGTCATCAAAGGGCACGGGACAGTCGCCGTGGAGACCTAAAAAAAACGA